CAGATCACATTTTGCTGACTTGCTTCGTGGCTGATGCTGGACCTGTCAGCTACCATGAGCCGTTTGCAAACAGGAGAAGACTTCTGACTTCTGAGCACTAATACTGCGAGACCCACGCTATTCCTGCGCTTTCTCGTCAACCCTGCCTTCTCAGAGTGTGATTGTATGAAAACTTCCTGTAGTGTAAAGCGCAGTATGCAAGGGTCACTGTCGTTGTGCCAATCACTTTAAGATGTAGAGACAACTGTTGTTGCTGACAATGCTTGAACCACTCCACTGAGCTAAAAGCAAGCGTATCTGCACCTGTCTTGTTGATGATTGCAGTACACTTGGGCACCCCTTGCGATCTCATGCGAGTTATTTGTTCTCAGGTTTGTCACGCCCGAGCACCCGGAAAATCCGAGACGATTCTTTGTCAGGCACAGGCGCGCTCTGCGATTGCGTTCGTATTCCTCCTCCCACCTTCTTCGCAATACCCACTACTTGCTGGTGGTCAGTAGGGAATAGGGAATAAGATCCCGATACAATCCCTGTAGTTTTTCCCTACTTATCCCCAGTTAGAGTCTGTTCCTTTTTGGCGCACGCTCTTGGCCACGAGGATGGGATATCCTTTGATGAGCTTGGATGGAGACTTCGGCCCAGAAGGCTGAGTGTCGCTACTTTATTCTGCCTGCATTAGTGGGAGAATGGCAGATCTGAAGCGAGCTGACCAGTTAGCTTGCAGAATGTTAGGCCGTTAGGCGTAACTTGACCCGCTGCAGGAGGGAGCTGGTTTGAGGGTGACACCAATTGCTTTCTCAATTTCCCAGACCCCCTGAAGTATCCAAAAAATGGAACCCCTAATAATCCCCTAATTTCCCCAATGTAGTACTGGGTTCATATTGAGGAGGTTCCATTTGTTGGATCTTTTAGGGGGTCCGGGTGACAGTTGTCGCCGAACATAGGGAAGGGCTGCGCAAAGCTGAGGAGCAACTGCAGTCCACAGAAGCACGTAACTTTGCACTGCTATCAGTAGCCGTATGCTGCTCCTCTCTGGAAGTCCACTTTCCACACTTTGCAGCTTGTTGTCCCAATTTTCACTGCGGCTAGCTCCACAAGCTTGACTCCTCACGTAAATCAAGCGGCAATTCTTGATGCTAGGTATGTAGTTCTGGCGAACTTCAGCAAGCCGATTGTATGCTCATGTGGCAAACTTTGACAGCACATGTTGCCATGGGCAGTCATGAATGCTAATGCTACTACACTCTCTTGGCAGCATCTCTGCTTTTGACATGCATTTGAAGCACTACTCCTCGGCTTTCGACTGCATCATGCGTTCCCAGAAAGATTCAGTGCCGCAGGGCAGATCAACGTCCGCGGGCTTAACAAGGACAACTACCAGATCTGCGGCTTGGAGGACTTGCACCTAACGCTTTGGCTTCTTGTTTGTTAAGCCTGGGAAGTGGAGCACATGACCAACGAAATAGCAACCTTCCTTGCAGAAGACGGGCTCTGGCGAGTGTCAGTGCTTCGTGCTGCAGCACATTGACGCAGGCCGTTTCCTGTTTTGCCATGTTGAAGGAGATGTGCAATACAGGTCTGTTTGGAGCAGCCAAGCGCACCCCAGCGGGGAGAAAGAAAAGGTAAATGAAGCAGGAGTACCCCAAGTTTTGAGTATGATGTCGAGACCGATATAATGTCCTTGCGCAACAGCACTTCTAGAATCTTAGAAAAGACTTGAATCGGCTCGTTGATAGAGAACCCACCATGTGCTGCAGCACCGGATCGGTGATCAACAGCACTTTGTCCACATGCCAGGGCTTGTCCTTGGAGCTCTCTCGGCCATTCGCCTCCACAGCAGGCGTCCGCATTTGAATGGTAGCTTTTGAGTGCATGGCTGGAATGAAGCCTCTTGTGGTGCTCACATCAGCGAGCTCCAACTGTTGTTGGCTTTAGACCTTTTGATGCGGCATTTTTTATAGTCATCCCATTCTGGGTGCGATTGCAAGCAAGGACAGCATTGTCCGAACATGTGGTTGGGGCAACCGCATTGAGACCCCAATTTCGAGAAAGATCAGTGTGCATCCGATTGGCACAGCATGCCCTGAGCGTAATTGACATGCTGCATAGCATGTAAAGGCACTGCTGGAAGAGTTTCAAGGGACTTGATAAAAAAGCTTTGTGCAAGGCTGGCGCAGGAGCGGCGTGTGGCGGAACAGGCTGGCGCGGCATAGCTCGAATGAGTCAGGTGTAGCAACAGCTTCGCGTGTATGAGCATGCTATCTTAGTGTTGCTCTTGTTCCCATTTTTTATGCTTATTTTCGCTCCTTTGTTTTTTCCACCATATGAGGTAATATAGGGGTTATATCGAGATAATGGAAAAGAACATGGAAATTGCTATTCAGGGTTTAGGGGCTCAGGTTATTGTTCTTATTATTTACTGGATGTTCCTGGCAGGCTGCGGCTGCGGCTGCGGAAAGTCCAGAGAACTTGGAAGGCTCACGACGATGTTGTTCCTTTACAAGAGGGTAGATGTTGGGGTCACACAGGGATAATCAAAAAAAATGAAGCAACTGTTTTTTAATAGGGTATATATTGGGGTTACTCGGGATAATGGAAAAGAAACTGGAAGCTATTACTTTGTAATAGGGTATATATTGGGGTTGTGATATCGAATATGGGAGTCATAGGGATTGTATGGCTGTGCCGGATCCCTGCTTTCTAGATTCTTCCGGTCTTTGTCAACATGTTGTGTCCAAACTTGCGCGTAAAACAACTTGGTTGGGACAATTCCACCTGTGAATCCCAGCGAGCCAGCGCAGCTTTTGAATTCCGGTCGTGGTCATTCTCCAACAAATCCCATTGGTAGCGAGTTGTGTATGCAGCTTCTCGTTTTACCCAAAGAGGATCCGATCATGACATCAGCTCATCCTCCGATTTTCTGAGGCTCAGATGGTGCGCAATTGCAGCCGCTTGTTGCTCCTGAAGGACGCAGTGTCATGAACAATCTGGTCAACATATTTGAATGTTGAGAATTGGTGTGCCCTGTTCCCACTTTCCGCTTCTGCGCTTTGACTATGTGAAGTACATGCGTGTGATTGTTTTCCAGGATCCAGTGCTGACATGCCACCCCCTTCTCCTCAGGCCGGATCATGCCTCCGTGAAGGATGCTACAGTGACATATTGCTAAATCCTTTTTACCTACTGGAGGTTAGTGGGGAACAATGGAAGGTAATCCTGATATGATATATTCCCATATCTCCTACTAATCCCCAGTACCTAGCCCTCTATTACCCCCATAAACCCTGTTTCCATTTGATTTTCCATGTTCTTTTACACTTGATTCTCCGCTATGGCAGGTATATTCCCATATTCTCACTAACACCTAAACCCTAAACCCTGTGTATATATGTACATATATACATACATGTATATATATATATATACCCTCAACCCTAACCCCTAAACTCTATATATATACCCCGCAAACCCCCAGTAAGGAATTGCTATCGAAGCCAGGCAGAAGATGCCGTGGTAGCCGGGTGACGTGTGGCACGGTAGTGGTCCTTGCGATTGGTGTTTTGCAAAATTAGGGCACTTTTTTGGGGGTCCCTGCAATAAGAATGAAAATATATGGGGTCTATACTGGGTTCCCATCATTTGCAAAGTGGTTGAAGCTGTAGAAGCAGATTGGTACAACGCAACTAGCAAGACGGAGTTGAGCAGCCGCAATTGAAGTCCTGATTGTTCAGCAGCTGAAGAGCCTGGCGTGAGCCATAGTCCAAACTCCTAGTATCCCCTTGAATAACCCCTATAGTAGTCCCCTATATAGCCCGTATATACCCCGCTTTAAGGACTTTAGATTATGGCTCATGTGGATAACTGCGTGGTGGGGTTTGGAAAAGGGGAGCTGCATGTGTAGCAAGCAGCGGACTGGCAGGGCAGGTGCATGCAACTGTGTTGTTGTTTGGATTGTCCTTTTCCCATGTTCGTTTGGCTCGAAGGACGGTTTGTTTAGTTGGTTTCCTGGTTTAATTTCTCAAGCTGTGGCATCTGTTCAGCAGCATCTTCAGATTGGCTGTTCGTAATGTCGTTTCAAGCATTGTAAATAGCAAATTTGTACAGTTATAAGCACGGCAAGCAGGTGTCTCAAGGAGGCAGAGGGTCTGAGAGTTTCGCATCGGCTCGTTGTGACCGTCGGTTCGCCGTGCTGAGGCAGGTTCCTGGAGAGTCCCAGCATCAGCAGCTGCTGTCAACATAGGGGTTGTAATCTTCCAGTTCACCATCAGTTGTGGTCCACTTCAGATCGTGAAGCCAGTTGGGCTTTGAAGTATAGATTTCGTATGTGAAGGTTGTGTTTCTACGCTAGTTTCAGTGCCAATGCCACGAGGTCCGTTGAGGAAAGCCTTGCAGCATGAAATGATTCGGCAGGCCATGCAGCTAACGGTGAAAGTCCACACGCTGGGCAACCAGACTGGGGTGCTGAATGAGGCTTGATCGCAGGTCAGACCGTTTTGTGGTTTTCAGACCACTTAGCTAAAGGGCCGGCCTCTGATTTTACATATGAACATGATTTTTGCATAGAGGGCCAAGCACGCTGAGTTCTGAATGGAGGGCTGCAGGGAGTGTATGAATGAGTCCGTTTGTTTGCGTTGGCCAAGAGTTTTGGTGCTTCCTGTTGTTGTTGGACAGTGAACGAAAGATCTGCTGAGGTCAGTGAGAATGACTTTGTCGAATCAGTGATTTCCAAGTTGGAAAAGAGGCGCCTACGCAAATTCGAACTAATGTTGCTCTTCATGGCAAGTGCACAGCAGAATCTCATAGCACATGAGCTCCAAAACATGGGCCTGACAGGTATGGCATCCCTGCAGCGCAGCAGCGAGTGCTGTACGAAGGCTGAAGGGTGAATAAACACTGGGCTAGGTAAGGCTTAGAGCAGCACCCCGGGTGTCTCTGCCAGGAAGCCCAAGATAAGCATCTGGGACATGCATGGGATGCCCTGAGACTCCTTAGAAGTATGTGGTCTGAAGCAATATTCTTGAATCCATGCGAGGCCTTGATGGCCGGTGCTCTGACCTGCATCGTGGCCGCAAGCTCAAGGACATCAGGCAGGCTCAGCTTGTGTGCTGGATCATGATGGGGCAGATATCCAGGAGTACAACTTGGCCCACCACGTGCGCTTCATCCTAGCGAAGGCGTTGCCAGCCAAGCCGAAGGCCCATGTTGCAGGATCAGTCTGTTTAGTTGCTGAGATCTCAAGCTGCTTTCATTTGGCTGTCAGGGGTCGGCCCCAGACTATAGCGCCGAGTGGCAGCCGTCCAGGCGGAGGGCCAAGGTGGGCTTTGTCTTTCTGCATGTGCCTCCTTTCATCGCAAAGGGTAAGCTTCAAACGATGATCTCTTGGCAGGCACGGGGGCCTCGCCAGTGTGTGCGGGCGCCCACTTGATGCTGACGCGAGTCCTGCAGACCTGGTAGTTGCAGAAAGGAAACAGGATTACCCTGGTAGCGAGCTTAGCATGCAGACTCTGAGGTGAACCGTTTGCCACCCCGTCCTCAGAAGCCTGCGCCGACATTCAACGAGGCAATGCCTGGTTTGATCGTATCCGTGAACCTCATAGCTACTTTTGGCAGGTGCAAGAGGCAATGCGGACACAGGAGGCTTCAGATTTCTGCTGGTTTGGGTTCTCACCTTTCCTGAATGATCAGCTGCATTACCAAATGCTGGCAAGTGCATACTTACCCAAAACCCGAAACCCCGAACCCTAAATCCTAAACCCTGAACCCTATAGCTCAGGTAAACCCCCACCCCCATACACTTTCCAGGTTCGCCATGAAAGAAAGGCCAGTCCTGCGACCAAGTCCGCCGAGGCGCTTCAAGCTGCTAGCGAGGCGTAACATTCTTACAAATTCCTCAAAATCAATTTTATAACCTATGACCTAGGTATGTTTATATATATTAACCTATATATATATTTATATTTATTTATATTAACCTATACATATATATATATCTCTTATATAACCCCTATATCCCTATGATACCCCTATACTAAATCATACGCAGGTTCCCTCGTCTCCTGCACCTCCCAATCGGCCTGTTCCGCGTGCCAACGAAGAGCCCGGAGGCCGACCGACCCTGATACAACTCATATGAGCCATGATGGAGTAATATTGGGATAATGGAAAAGAAAATGGAAACTATAGGGATTATAGGGTTTATATAGGGATTATGGGGGCTATATTGAGGTAATATTGAGATAATGGAAAATAAAATGGAAACTACCATAATGTAGGGTATATATGAGCCATAGTCTAAAGGCCTAAGATTCCCTTTAATAATGGAGAATCAAACGGAAAAGAACATGGAAAATGACATGGGAACTGGGATCATATAGGGAATGATAGAGGTTATAATCTAAACTCCTAGTATTCTCCTTAATCGCCCCTACAATAGTCCCCTATGTAACCCTTTATATGACCCCCTTTTAGGGAGTTTGGACTATAGCTCGTATATTCAGATCTTGGATTGATCGCTTACAAAGTGCAATGCAAAATGCTAAGCACACCACGAAATCATCAGACGCCATTGATGTGGATGCAAGGTGGGCGAGGGCCGAAGCCTGTGTCTGCAAAGGCACCCTCGCAGGCTTGCTCTTTGTTGTTGTGGCTTTTCAAGTCATGCGGATTCGACTTGTCTTATGTAGCCGCCCACTTCGAGCAGCTGGTGCCATGCACAGGCACCACCGAAGGGCCCAGCCAATCCTGTGGCACCCTGGGCTGCGTCGATGCCCTATGCAGGGTTTCCCGTTTGAGGTGCCAGGGTCAGTCAGCACCAACGTCAGCTCCAATGCTACCTGACGAGAACAGATTCGGATACCTTCTTACTAGCAGGCAATGAGGCAGCACTGCCGTTTGTACATAAGAAAACATCCACGGTACCTGCTGTCGATGCTCTTGCGTCAAGCACTTGACCGAGAGACAAAAGCAAACAACTCATAAAAGATAGGTCCAAAAACTTGAAGTGATGCAAATTGTGGCCAGAGGTGTTCAAATGTCTCCAGGGCTGGTCTCAAACTGCTGAAGTCAATCTTGTGGAGATTTAATTTCCATCATGAGGCCGAGAGCTCCGACCACGCAGCCGTCCCACTCCTGGTCGCCGCCGATTACAGGCTGCCCAGATTCTTGCGGGCAAAGCGCACGAGAGTTCCAGTTGTCGGGTACGTGCTCGATCTGCATCCATGCCCCAGAGTTCCAAGAATACTCCCCGCACAGGCTCTGGTGTCTGCACGCCGAAGGCCAGACGTGCGAGGAAGAGCTGTGGCCGTCATGAAAGTCATTTGTGAAACCAGGCACCTTCAGACTTGCCTTTGGTGGAGCCGCGGGGAGCCCGGATAAGATCCTCAGCAGAGCAACCAACAGCCAAGAGCGCCTTCTGCCCAGGCAAGGATCATCTCGCGCGGTGAGGGCGGCGACTCCCGGTGGCGGTCTCAGAAGTGCATAAACTGTGGGTTTGTTAGTACCATCGGGATAAAATGCAGTTCTAAGAGAGACGTGTGTGTTGGGAAGTAGCCAAGGGCCTCAACTGCAGATACAAGTAGGTTGCTCCAATGCGGCCACGTTGCATACTACTTAGGAGCTCCACCTGTGTCGTCCTCTCCATTCTCGGGCACAGCGGCAGCGTCTCTCTCTTGGAGGGTGGGGTAGCATGAATTGTCCCGGGTTACTACGCGATGTTGGAGTTCTTGCAGAGATGTTGCTTCTTCTGACCGAGGACGGGCAACGCAGGCCAACGTACACTTGGGATTCACTTATGTCAATTGAATCTCAGCATGTGCTTACAGCATAATTTCATCCCCCAGAGCAACCTGGAGGCTGAGCTTCGTGTACAGTTATCATGCTCCTATCCAGGAACCTCAGGTGCTAAGTGCACACGTCTGTGACAGGCGTCACACGGATACGTCGCTGCGATCTACAGCGGGTTGGTCGACTTGGAGTCGGCGCGTTTGGGCTGGTGACGTTGGAGGCCTGCCGTTGTAAAGCTTCAGCAGGGCAGCAGGACAGAGGCTGCTGATTACAGATCTGGAAGTAGCTGAAGGGTGTCAGGTCGGCAGCCTACAGTTGTAGATAGTCATAGAGTATGCTGTGATTGCGAATGCGTTGGAAAGCATTGGGACCTGTATTGAGACATCCGGCTGCGATGTACACTGGCTGACAACATCTGCTCCGTGGGGCAGAAATCTAGATGCAGTGCAGAAGCAAGCAGGCTGACCGAAGGACCGGTAGAACATACGTGCAGACAAAATCTGCGCTGTGGGACAGAAATCTAAATGCAGTGCAGATGCAAGCAGGCTGACCGAAGGACCGGCAGAACATACGTGCAGTGCTTAGATGGTTCATTGGCAGCGCAGCATGCATTGGGTTTTTCCCGTTGGCATGAACACGCAATAACCAGCATCTCGCTGAGGCTCTCAAAGCAGTCTCCAAGGGATACTTGGCCCACCTGCGAATGGAGCACGGATCTCACAGGATGGCGCAAGTCTTGTGCTCGATCCTTGCTCGGTGCAGTCCAATCCTGCAAAGGTATTCTGTGTTGAATGAGAAGAGAATCCTCAAGATGCTGGACACACCATTCGTCCATTTCCCTGAAGGGGAGGTTTGCCTGACAGCAAAGTTACAGTTGTCACTCTACTGCAAGGTCGTACGGCTTCTGGCCACGTACAGCGGCAGAGAGCACGTCTACTTTCTCCTCGAGGCGTGTGACGGGGTGGTCCTGGAATCTTGTGTCACCTTTGAACTCTCCGGAATGAACCGTAGGCCGCGCTGGGCGGGGAGCTTTTCACCACTTACGAGCGCCTCAAGCTTTATGGTGCGCACCAAAGAAGTGAAGCACCGGGAAATTGCAGCAGGGATGTAGGTAGTGCGATGTGAGTTTATCGTGCGGCGTCTCCTCATCGTCTGCAAGCCGGTGAGGTTCGGAGGAGCACGCACGATTTTACGTGGCCTGCGTCACAGAGGCTCTGCGGGCAGACTTTTGCCTCTAGTCCTGATGCCGTGTCAACCTAGATCCGTGGAATAGCAGACATGTTACCTGGAAACTGAGCTCTGGCGTAAAACGTCCTCACATTTTGCGGCAGAATCGAGTTCCCGCATGGAGCGTTCTGGCATCGGAAACAATTCTGCTCGAAGAGTAGGTCCTGTGCAATCTCAAGGTGAAGCTGGAGTGATTTACAATGACATGATTTTGGTGTCCTGATGGCACCGGAACATTCGCACCAAAACACCTGAATGATCGATTTGAACCTACCTCTACAGATCGAGTACTTCAAATGAAACCTGTTAGAGTGCTTCTTGCTTTTGTTGTTTAGGCATCCTTGCAGTTTCATCGTGCTCGCCCGCATAACTGGGCAGCTTGGTGTTTATAGGGCCAGTTGCATGTTCCGAGGCGATCTCGGAAAGAACGTGATCATTCGGAGTTTTGGGAGCTTCCCTGGCAGGCGCTGACGCATCTTCACGAGAAGCACGTGATCTACCGGGACCGAAAAATGGTAGAACAGACCTGCGCAAAAGGGTAGCTTAGGCTGGTTAGTTCTGCTTCATCTCATGGCGATGAAATCGGAACAGAGCTTTGTGAATTGCATGTCCGAGTGGCTGTGGTGGAAGCCTTCACAGGACCTGAAACCAGAGAACCTCCTGCTAGATGTTCGAGGTTTCTGCAAGGCCTGTTGTCAATCAGGTCTGCAGAAGAGTATTTCTTCGCTATTTGTATCTGGATTGGAGCCGTTGTCAACCATGGACTGCATGACAGCAGATAAGAGGTGACGGACATGGGACTCGCAAAGATCACCACAAGCGCGCAGCTCAGTTGTGTGACCATCAGCTTGGACTGCCCAGAACGATTCTACTACAGAAGCCTAGCGCTCGCATCAAGACTTGTGCAGCTTTGCTGCGAAACCGAGACGCCACGTTCACGATGGTTGGAACTCCAGACTATATGGCGCCGGAGGCTGCCCTGCAACATGCACAGTAGCTTCGACCTAATGAACTTGGCATGCTATTAGGCGTAGGGGCTGATACCAGTGTGAGATTGTGAGGTGATTGAACAAAGTGGACACACCAAGGCCGGTCCAACGCTGAGCTTGCATGTGACCAAGTCTCTTGCTTCCAGCCTTCCACTGGCAGTCTGTCGACTGGTGGACTCTGGGCGTGCTGCTGTTCGAGCTGTTAGCAGGACTGCTACTTTATGCCTTAGTTGAATTTCCACGCTGTCACAGACCGCCGTCAGCTTACCAAAGCAGTTCGAAAGAGAAGCCGGCTTGCGAATTAAGTTCATACCTACCTTGAATGTTAAAGAGTCACCTGGAGGAAGACATATCTTGTATGATCAATGATAATAAGTTGTCGGTTCGGCTTTAAGGTTTCTTGCGCCCGGCAAGGCTTCTGGGCCCTGAGCCTCCATAGGTAAGAAAGGCATGCCAGGTGTCCCATCGCCTTGGATTGACACTAGAACTCCCAAGCAAAACCAAGCAGTGCAAAGAAGTTGGCTTGTTATGCTTGTTGCATTGCTTATTAACACATCACGATGCATGTCTTGCAGGACACGCACCTTTTGAGTCCAAATCAGGCAATGCCCAGGAGGCTGCATGACTTTAAGATAAGGTTGGCGTTCTTGGCAAGTATACCCTGCACCACAAAGGAATTTCAGGACTTTGCATAGGTTTGTGGCTTAGGCCATCACCCACAATCCGGAATTCGGGGTTCATTCGCTGCTGGTGTCTATTGATTTCGCACCTTCATGCGTTCCACGACCTTCGGATTGCTGGTGCCACTAGCAGCGCCCGCTTGCAGACCTATGCCCTCGTAAAGAAGGGCATTGAGACGGTGCGGTTTCCAGATTCCGTGAAAAGCGAAGCCGCTCGGCCATTTACTGCGGTGTCGAGAGAGGACTTTGGTTTGCCCGGGTGAGACTGAAGCTTGGACTCAACTGCTCTTCCCGTTTGAGTGTCTGTAGTCTTCATTCTGTTTGCACGGCAGTGGGCGACATTGAGGAGCAAGGTCTTCCGAATTTGGCAGAAGATTTCATGATGCCGAACTGAGGCTGGCGCGTTGGTACGGAATTTGTGCCACCGGAATCCGGATGTGGCTTATCAGCACGCAGTGATGATGTCGAGCTTTCAGGTTAAGGGGCAGTGGCGTGATCCAGCCTTGAGGTGCGTCTCCGCACACCGCAGCTCCGGGACCACAGCTTCTTCCGTGGCTTTAACTGGAAAGGCGTTTGTCATTGCCGAAGCTGTTGGGAGGGTGTGAGTGGTTGTCTTATGAGAGGCCTGCAGAATCTTCAAATCAATCCTCCGCTGGTGCCGCAGGCACAATCTCTGAGGGGCGCATCTATTCTTTGCAATTAAAAGGAAAATGCTATATAAGCCTACAGCATCACGAATGACTTGATTCAAGCTTAACGCAACAAACCAGCAAGCGGTGGCGGCAGAAACGCCTCACTCACTTCCTCCCTGCGGCGTGCTTTTGAAGACCTGCTGCCAGGTCCGAGGGCCTCGAGACCTGACAAACTTCCGCGACTGCGAGCACGAAGACCCGCAGGCTATGCCATACCAGGCGCCAGCTCTACACAATTCAGCTCTACGTAGTGCTCTCCTTGAAGGAGAGGCTGTCCTGTCTCATGTGGCTGCAGTGGGCCATCACTCTGGCCAGGACACAGGCAGCGGCTGGGACATCGGCTTTGAGGACTGCTTGACGGTCTGCTTATGGCTGTCAGGAATTGGAGGATGATTCTTGGGACTCTTTGGGGGTCGTGCACCAGAGGGGCAACCGGAATTTCCTGGACTTGGAGTTGCCACCTCCGTTATTTATGGCCAGGACGACGTGCTCAGTGTTGGTGCCACAGCAGCAGCCGCGGCTGCGCCAATGCTGCCACAGCCTCGGTTCGAGAAGGTCTCAAAATCTGGTAAGGGATCCCAGCGTTAGGTTGTTTTTAGATGGTGCTCTGTTTGCAACAGCAGCCAACTTACCATAGCGCAGATCAGGCCAGAGGTGTCATTTGGGGGCAATTTGAGGTCCCTCCCGACCTGCGGAGCAACACCGTCGGGAACTCCGCAGCGTGTCGTGGCGGCAGATGTTCGAAGACTCCTGCATTCGCTTCAGGGTGGAGTCGTGAGTTACGTGCAGAATATGAAGGGCCAGATGCCTGAGGTGTTCCTGCGGCAGCAAGCAATGCATCCAGCCCGGGATACAGGCCTCATCCCGTCATCCAAACTGGGACTGTCAGCCTCGGCAAGTCCTTGCTTGGCAGGGCAGCTCCACTCGGCACCTCCCCGCAAGCTCCTCAAGCAGCGCAGCGCTGGCAGAGTTTGGGCGGCAAAGTGCGCCTTTTCCTTCTCTACAGTAGGCTTGATTTAAAGGTCCTTGTTGGGGCTTGAGATGCAAGGGACAAGCAGGAAGAGAGTTGGAGGGGTTGAGCAACAGGAGGAGGCCGAGCCATACGAGGCTTGGGGAAACCATAGTCCCTGACTACCTATGCAAGCCCCACATTTTACACCTCACCCCCCCCTTGCATATTTTCAAGAATGGGACCTACCTATACACCCCACAATACTGATTCTACTGCCAGGCACCCGCAGCAACGGCGCCTGCTGAGCCCCTCACCTGGATTTAGGCATGAACTGGCAGGCTCTGGGTCGCTTTTGAGGGTTCAGCGATATGCGAGTGGCGAGCTTAATATTCAGATATATTCAGCAATTCTGCGATCCCACTTGCAAGAACGTTCCAAACCAACATCCAGTCATCAGGGAGGTCCCCATCCAAACTGTAAGAGTATGGGAGAAGCTCCAATCCCAGCTGCGGATGGGAAGTCCCACTCAGGTCCCCCTTGCTCACCGCGTGGAACGGCGCAGCGGCCGCAGACAGCGCGGGTGCAGGCTCACGGGCATGCGCGGTCACCTGGCCTTTGTCCGTGTAGGATTCAGCTGAGCATTTCAAGCCTCGAAGGATGAGCAGCTTTGGTATGCAGCACCGAACATCAATGTTTTGTGAAGAGCACACTGCTTGAACTGCAACCAAGCCAGGGCGGGGTTGCCAACGCAGCCCGGAATGCATGGCAGGCGGATGTGTGGGATGGGTGGATCTTGAAAAAACTGTCTCAAGGTCGTCGGGCCATTCTTGGATCCTTGCGGTGCGAGCAACCTTATTCTCAGACGTGCTTGCGGATCCCTGCTGAAAAAAGACAGCCCAGACCTCCCGATGCGCAGGCGCACGCCGACAGGAAGATGGCAGCTGGCGCAGGCGTGATTGACGCATTGCGGAGAGTAGTGAGTGAACGCCTACGAGCACAGAAGCATTTCTAGGAAGGCAACACTCCAGGCTTCTCAGACGGACCCCCCTGATTCCCGTGTCCAGGAAGCTTCGTCCCGCCCATCATTCGCTCTGGCGGTGGCCTCCAGCAGGGGTGGCCCAGTAATCAGTGATGACATGTCGGTTAACTCAAACGCGGACTCAGTTTAAGGAACCTTGGATGAACTGCATGTCCATGCCCACATCCTTGAGCCAGGTCACCACCCTCAAGCCCGGTCATGGGAGGAGGCGACAGCAAAGTGTATTGTAGCTGCAATTTAGTCATGAGGGCTGTGATAGTCGTCTCCTGTAGTGATGCTAACCTGCTGCAGTGCAACAGTAGGCAGAGAGCTAAGCATTGCATGTGAGGTTCCGCGACTGCTTGTATTGATGCTGCAAGGATGAGTTCTTGAGTTTTTCCCAGTGACCAGCTCAAAAGCTCGTGGGCTCTTCGGTGGAGACGGGTCCTCAGTCTGCGGCAGTCGCTGAAATGTGCAAATTGCAACATGATGCCCATGGTTCTTGTCCATTGTCCCAGCATACCCCAATTCAAGTGATCTTAGGCTGTTCAGTATTTGGCAAATGCACTATTGCGGTCGTTGTGATGTTCTGAACCTTTGCGCCACACACGTAATGAAGATTGGTGGAGGATGTGCCATGCATCTGAAAGAAGGTGTTGTAAGCCTCTGCTTGCAGATAATCTCATGTCGGCGTGTCACAGCAGCAGTACTACACGCAAAGTCTTGGGTATAGGCGCTAGCTCAAGAGGTTACACAATACAATGGAGACAAGGCTTGAGTAGTGGTGGCATATCTCAAGTAGTTGTTTGAAATTCGCTGCCAATTAACGGCATCTGCCATTCCGCGCTGTGGATTCATTGGAGGGCATCGCGTCCAGAACGAACTTTTCACAGAGGACCCTACACCCTAAATAGTAGTTTCCATTTTCTTTTCCATAATCCCTGTATTTCCCTGATATACTATAGTGGTTTGCATACGCATTTGACTCAGAGGCCGTGAGCCCTACCCAGTGCCTGCACGCAATTTCGTCTCAAGGTTTGGCAAGGCATGCGCCTAAGGCGAGGGTTCAGCGCTGGCCCAGCCTTCCTCTGCAGAGGGCCAAGCCGAGCCTCACGACTGCTGCAAAGCTGCTGGGATAGGGATGATAGGGATTAGACTTGCACAATTATGCAGAATCAATTTCACAAAAACATGGGAAAATCAAATAAATGAAATATGAAAAGCATGCCAAGATTGCCCGCTGAAGCCTTATCCCAGCCTCATGCAGTGTACAGGGCTCGAGGGGCCATGGCCGTCACAGGATGTCACAGGCATCCAGCATCCTGCCCGGATGCTCCCCTCACGACCGGCCCCAGTCTGTGAGTATAATCATTGCATGAGCAGACTGCGAGTCTTCTGAGACGCCGTGGAGCTCAAAAAAGTGGGCAGCGCTTTGGAAGGTACCAAACCTGCTATCCTAGAGGCCTCCTTATTCATATAACACGAAAGTTGCACGTGCATTATTCTCTAGAGCACAGCAAAAGACAAAGCATGAGGGGAGGTCTCTGGATGGCTATCAGCGAATGATTCTGATGAGATGCTGATATTCGGTCTCTGAACCTCACGGCTGTTTGGGCCCCGGGCCGCAGAGCTTATTGGGAGTTTCAGCTCCCTCGCGTGAGTGGAGGTGCAGGGCAGTCAGTGTGATTGGCATAGTACTGCTTAGTAGTGGCTTGCTTACTTCTTTGTGGCTGATCTGATCGACCAGTGGCCTCTGACATGCTCGGTTCAGAATTCAGGCCTAGCATCTCAGGACACAAGCATCCTCAAACACCGCAGATTGTTGCACCTGCTGGCGTGCCAACCCCGCGTCACAGACCTGTGCCAGGGATGGCGAGTTTTGACTTGAGTGGCACCTATCAGTCCCCGCAATTCTCCGGAGGCGCCCTTTGCCGATTGTTTGACTAGGAATCCGGCATGCCATGTTTGCAGCTTGCATGGCCGTGGTCAGAGTGGGAAGGCGATGGTGCCGTGGCCCCCAGCGGCCACATGCAGGAATCCCAGGGACTGCAGGCTTGGACGGTTTCCATTGGCTTTGCGTGTCTGTCAGTGATGCATGGCCACAGAAGCATCCCACTGCCAGGGACGATGTACTTTGGACGAGCCTGTCACAGAGACCATCATGAGAGATCTCAGGCCAGCTGCATGCACGAACTGAGTGAACGTGATCCGGGGTGGGCATTCGACATGTCAACTCAACCTTTGTGGGTAGCACTGTACCCTTCACGATGTAGCACGTAGACATGCAAGCATCTTTTTCGAGTCTCATATCACACGCAAAAGTCAACAGCCACGCCTAAGGGAGACAGTCTTTCTTACACCTACATGAGAGGAGGGAAGTTGAGCTCCAGGAGCCCACAGAACCAAGTTTCCAATTTGTGCCAGTGCTATTTTGCCCAACTCCGAGGTCGATTGGAACAAAGCTAAAGTGCGCCTTCCGAGATGGAGAGCTGTGCTAGTGCTGAAATTGACGGATTCGCTTAGCCACAGGTATGTCATGCTGCCGAGAGCACGAGCCGACAAAGGCAGCGGCTTGCGAGAGTGGTGGTCTTAGTTCCAGACACCTATAGATCCTATAGCCTATAACCCGGAGCAGATGAAACGAGATTTGACAAATGGACCGCGGAAATGACTTGCGAAAGCACACAGATGCAGGCTCCTTGCAGAATTGAGACACGACCTAGCCAGATTGTTTGGAACATGTTTCATCATCCTTTGTCAAGGGAAAGTCTGGACACATTCCTGTCCTGTCGTGAGGTGGGACCTCTGGGGTCCCCTTGTGCTGTGTCTAGCCCTGGGTGCCTTGGCAGAAATGAGAAGATATTGTTACTAGTATCATCCCTATTACATCGTTACGAAATTCAGTACCAGTATTACTATTATTATCATTTGTGATTATCATGTTGTTTGTTATGATTAGTATTTCTATTGCTATTGCCATTGTATTGCTATGCCAGATGGTGGCCATAATCAGAATGGCTTCTGGCAGCCTGCCTGACTTGACTTGGTAGGTTCCATCATGTTCCGACATGAGAGATCCACAGTACAGACTCAAAATTCTATAGTCCTCATTATGCGGACCCCAAAACGGGCCCCTTAATTTTGGGAAACCCTAAACCTTAAACCCTATATCCCCCTATATAACCCCCATATATCCCTTTTAAGTTGCCCATGATTTTGGGAAGCCCTGGCTTGTCGAGGCATCATGCTGTCCATGCGAGCAGAGCAGGCCGGCAATTGGTAATAGTACTATTCTATCATTATTGCCCTTTTTATTACTAGTAGTAGTATTACTGTACAGCTCGTAAACAATCCGTAACCATCCTACTGCTCTTTATGGAGAAGTCATAGAAAACGCCTGGTTTGCACGCGGAGATTTCCCCGAGCCACATACAAAGTCCTATCATCTCAATGGGCAGTGGAAGTATTATCCTTTGTCAAGGGGAGTCCCACAGACAGCCTGTCGTTGTGTGGGGGAATCCCACCCCTATCATCTTGCATGAAAACAGCGAGCGGTTTGGGAAAGCATTCAACACCATGGGACGCAGCAGTCAGGGCGAAGCATCAAATTACTTCCAAAGGCAAGCTCCAAATCCTTGCACAAACTGAGTTAACGCGAAGCCTCAATCACTTCTGGCCAAAGCACGTATTCAACGTGCTAGACTAAGAATGCCTTAATGCAATGCAAGTTGGAAGATTGCTCTAAGATTGGAGATTGCGATAGCGAAGCTGTCCTTTCCCACGGGGTTGGTTCCTGTAGGAATCCATCATTTTACAAGAGATTTGCAAAGAAATTCTGACCTTTGCTATGAGATGCCATACATTTTTATCACTTTACATGGAGATTCCATGGTACTTCTCTGACTTCCTGTAAAGATCCCAAAGCAATTCTATTATTTCGTACAAAGATTCCCATGCCTGTACGGATTCCCATAGAAATCTTGGTTGCCTTGCAGGTTGGGTAGAAGGTTAGGGTCTTGTTTTGCGTTGTGTTTCAAATTAGGGGCTGCAGTCCTATGAAGGTGCAGTGCTCAAGTAATCATTCAAGCCGGACGATTCAACTTGCCAAGCGTGATTCATGCTATGGTCGATGCCATTTCAAGGTATCAAACCCCACTACTCCTGGCCCTGGACATCCTGTGGCCATGGCGTTGAGCCTCCAGGCCGAAATCGCAAAGAAAGCCATCGGAGATTACTTCACGACCTCACAGGACCTGCGAGAGAAGCTGAAGGAGCTGCAGCAGGAAATCAACGGCCACCACACACGGACAAATGCCTTCCGGACTGGCGGTGGCGTTGTTGTTGCTATCGCTGGTGGCGTGTGCCTAGCCCTTGCTCCGTTCACCGGTGGAACCTCCCTGCTGGTGGGCGGCGGCATTGCAGCTGGTGCTGGTGCAGCCACTGGCATTGGCAGCACGATCGGGGGCATTATCGGCGATCGAGACCACGTATCTCGTTTGCAGGATCTTGCGCAGAGGCTTCAAACGCAAGCTGAAGCTTTGGTTGAAACAGTAGTCGTGCTCATTCAAGTTGCCGCAGTGCAGAAAGGCTTGTCAGTGGAGGAGATTGCACGCACTTCCATTGGTGGACTGGCAGTCCTTGTGCAAATTGGCGTTTCCATTTTTGCTGGCGTCAAAGTTGTTGTTCCGGTTGCCACGGCCATCGTCAATGTGGCCAAGATGACGCCCGCAATGCTGCAGTCTGCGCGCGCCGCATGGCTTGCTGCGCAACAAACCGGTATCAGAGTCGTCTTGCTGACTGTGGAAGGTGCAGGGCCATCAGTTGTTGAGATGGGTGTGGCTGCAAGTGCGGCAACTGCAAGCAACTCGCGATGTTGATTTAATCCTTTTAGTAGCCTTATAGGCTTGGTTGTGAACGTCAAACCTTGCGAAAGCATCAAGGCCTTCCGCGAGCGAAACCCTTCGACCCAACAGACCAGTCTTGTTCTAAACCACACTTCTTTGAAGTTTCTCAGAAAGTCTCGCCTCTTGCAGCTTGAGTTTTCTCCACCTGTGGGTAGATGACATTCCGAGCGCATATCCTGAATCTTCAGAGCCCTAGAACCACTAGGCCTCACAAGCCCCATTCTTAAAGCCTACATGCTTGACCCAAGGTACAGCAGGAAAGATCTTAAGCTCAGCAGCAGGAGGCTTGGGCGCAGTCTTTGGGATTTATGAGACTTACTTAGCACTTTGTAAAGCTTTAGATTTGTTTTCTGACTGCCAGAAGTAGGGCATGGCAAGTTCAGCAAATTTTCTTAACCGATCGTCAGCCAAGCAAGGAGATGGTCGCCGGAATCATCAACCTCACAGAAGAAGCCGCTCTCACCAAACATGTGCGTGAAGCGCAAAAGGAACTCGCGAAGTTGGATGATAAGTACCACGCTACCCTCCAAAACGTGGAGGCTGTTTTAGCGCAGTGAGATGGTGCTTCGTAACGAAGAGGTAAAGGTTCTTTGGCAAGGATACTTTCAAAGCACACGAGCGCCAGGACATGGGAACTATGTTTCTCTCTTTAGTCCCTTTCTGCTAAGCGGCTTGTCCGTGTGTACAGATGTCTCGGGCTCAGCAGCTGCCATGTCTTGGGAGATCATTTTACGGAGATCCGAGGCATGGTTGCCTAGTAGACCGCTTGTGCATCCTATCGCAGGGCCAAAACAAGGGCTTTTGCTAAAGTCCTGAGTGTTGGCGGTCTGATGGGCAGCTTCGAAGACGACGTGTTCCTACTTGGCTTAAAGTGGGATGGGTTGAGACAGCCGGTTGTGCTCGCTGGCAAAGCAGGTTAGATTTTGCTGTGTTGAACTTAGGGGTGCCAAGTTCAGTGGTGGAGTTGCCTCGGCTGTGCTTACGAGTTCGTACTGACACCTACATTTCTGTCAAAAGCATTTACTTGGTCCCCGCAGGCCTGGTCCAATATTCTCTCTTAGCTCTTTTCGCGCTGGATCACTGCCATGGCTCTCATTCCTGCAAACAGGGCGGGGCTGGTAGGGCCCGTGCAAGCTGTGCCTTCGGTGCCCCAAGCCTTGACAGTTCAGAACTTGGCACTGTTGCCGCGTCGAAATCCTCTCCTTGCCAACGGCTTCGGGTATGCCATCCCTGCTGCTGCAGAGCCAACATTTGTCAGCGCTCTCGCTGAAGACGCTCGTTTCCAGGTGCAATTCGGCACGGCTGTATCTTCGGATCTGAGGTCAGACATGCTTGGACGTTTCCCTCGGAGGGACACCGAAAGCTCATTGCGTTCAGCAGATCGGCGAGCAGCAGTGCAACAGTTCGTCAGTGAAAACTACGTTATGAATCACGTTGCGACCAGGCAAATGGAAGACCCATTGAGTTCTCGAGGAGCGATCATGGCAATCAACAGACTAGCAGCTCGCAACGCTCGGCAGCAGCCAGTTGTGCCAGCAAACGATATCATCACTCTATGTGACAACCACGAAGTCACGTTGTATTGCTTTGACGTGAATCAAGCGATCGACAGCGCAAAAGCTGCCATTGCACCAGTACTGGCCGGGCACATCGGGGCTGACGGTCGCATCGCAAATCCGCAGGCTGCTGGGCTGTACCAGGAGATCCGCTCGACTGAGGAGTACCAGTTCTCCCACGTGCCAAATCCTCGCGCGTGGCCAAAGGCATCTGGTAATATAGTGCCAGGCGCAGGGGCTGCAGGCAACCCCCCCTGCATTGCGGGTGGTCCGCGGCACGATTGTCTTTGGTGTCGGTTGCCTATCTGAAAGCTTCTGAATTTTGGCATCTTTCTGCGCGCGTCAAGAATCTTTCATCCCCTCTCTGGTCCTCTGTCCGCTTGCCTAAGCCCTGCAAACCCCCGTACCGTATTTCAAGATCAGCTGAGGTTATGATCGGCAAGCTACTGCCGTGGATATTCCAAGACCAACAAGGGATGAATTCCTCGCTGGCTTACGGGTTGTTCACCGCAAATCTTCTTTGGCAGGCCCCTAGATGGCTAGAGATCCACGCGTATCGGTGGAGAGGCAGAGTGTGGGTTACGATGCAGAGTTCAACTCTTAGCAAGCGTTTTGGCGCAAGTGAGCGTCCTGGCATGCCGATGGTACAGATATTGGCAGCGGGCGCTGAAGAGTGCGGTGCTTTGCCCGGAAGCAAACATGTTTGCGTTGGACATGTGCGCAGCTGAGGGTGGCAGGGAGGGAATCGACCCAACCTCCTGCAGCCTTGGGGGCTGATAGCTCCTGCTGGAGATTTTGATTCTCCCCTCTCCTTCTCTCAGCTGCGCTCATGGCAGCGGCGACCGCGGCTCCTTAAGTCCTTCGGCAAGGGCGTCGACCCGAGACCAAGGAACAGCACTTCAGAGTGGGCGCGGGCCTTGATGAGTCTGTTCCCGGACAAGGCGACAGCCATAGGCTTCGGCAGCATAGATGACGAGCCCTGGCGAGCATGGCATGACACCGTTGGCAACCCAGACATCAGGATTATGGCAGCGCTGCCCGCAGGGGCCGTAGTGGAGAACTCCATGAGAGTGGTCCTGCCAGGGAACTTGCCATTATCTCCGACTCAAGCGGCCCAAATTGGGCTGGTGTGGCGCCTCGCTGCTCGACATGTCAGCCGGGTGACCCCTGCAAAGTAAAAATCACCCGCATTCACAAATGCAGAGTGTGTCTCAGCCCAGGCCACAGAAGCTCGGATTGCCCTCAGAGAGCGTAAAACAAGCATCCATCATTGCGTTTGTTGCCGGGAGCCAGGCGGCGTGACGGCAGGTTCTTCCTTTCTTTCGTCTAGGTTTATGTTGCTGCTAGGCCGGGGGCTTTTGCAGGACGGCTCACAGGTGCTCGGCCAGATGCGGGCGGGATCCATGTAGGAAGGACGCCCCTGCCAGCCATAGCCGCGCAGCGCATGAAGAAGACATTCCTGCGCCTGTACAGCGGGGCGGAGGACGTCTTGGGAGCCACGATCCCAAGAGAAGGCCAGGGCCCACGGCATCGAGGTCACCATCGAGGAGTACGACCGCGAACGGGCACGACCTCCTGGACTCTGAGGTTCTAGCGTCTCTCAGAGCCAAAGCCAGGGCCGGGAAGTACGACGGTGGCCACGCTGGATTTCCATGCTCTACGTTCTCCCGTTTGAGATGGCGGCCAGCGCCTTACATGCCGGGGCCCGTCCGTTCCAGGGAACACCTCTACGGCCTCCCCACCAACACCGCAGCTCAGCAGAGAGAAGCGGACCGTGGCACGCTGATGGCATGCACATCTGTGGACAT